AGGAAGGGCTTTCAGTATTTTTCCACTTCCTTTTTGCCATCAACAGAACATCCACCCCTCTATTTCCTTGCCATAAGCAGGCACTGGAGTTGGTCAAAATTGTACTCTAAGACCTTTGAGGTGAAACAGAAAAAGACTGAAATACAGTGATGTCCTGACTAACCCACCCATCTGGGCTATCTGACTTTCATTGTCTTTGAGAAGATATTTTACAACTTGCAAAGATAAAATGGAACTTGTAGAAAACTATGGCTGGCGCCGCGGCTCACTAGGATAATCCTCCGCCTTGCGGCGCCAGCACACCGGGTTCTAGTCCCGGTCGGGGCGCCAGATTCTGTCCTGGTTGCCCCTCTTCCAGGCCAGCTCTCTGCTGTGGCCAGGGAGTGCAGTGGAGGATGGCCCAAGTGCTTGGGCCCTGCACCCCATGGGAGACCAGGAGAAGCACCTGGCTCCTGGCTCCTGCCATCAGATCAGCGCGGTGCGCCGGCCGCAGCGCGCCAGCCGTGGCGGCCATTGGAGGGTGAACCAACGGCAAAAGGAAGACCTTTCTCTCTGTATCTCTCTCTCACTGTCCACTCTGCCTGTCAAAAAAAAAAAAAAAAACTAATAGTAATGCAAATAATTCCTATTTGTGAATAAGTAAATTCTGTAGTTTGGCGTGTAATCGATTTCCCTCCACTATGTGGAGGAAGCCGGTTTTGCACCTGTGAAGCATTCGTTTGGCATTCCTGGTGGGCTTACATGTTTATCTGGTCTTTGGATTTTCCCCTGAAATGGTCGTAACACCTGTCTGGCTCACTTGTACATTAATGAGTTACATAAAATCTTTGACACATATGCACTGTATGAGGGGGCTTTAAAAAAGTTTGTGGAAATAGATTTAAAAGTTTGAGACCCATGCACACAAGAGTCTTCAAAAAGTTCACAGAGATGCACATTGTGAAACAACTATGTGGCCGGCGCCGCGGCTCACTAGGCTAATCTTCCGCCTGTGGCGCTGGCACCCCAGGTTCTAGTCCTGGTTGGGGCGCCAGATTCTGTCCCGGTTGCTCCTCTTCCAGTCCAGCTCTCTGCTGTGGTCCAGGAAGGCAGTGGAGGATGGCCCAAGTGCTTGGGCCCTGCACCCACATGGGAGGCCAGGAGGAAGCACCTGGCTCCTGGCTTCGGATCGGTGCAGCACATGGCTTTAGTGGCCATTTGGGGAGTGACCTAGCAGAAGGAATACCTTTCTCTCTGTCTCTCTCTCTCTCTGTCTAATCTGTCAAAAAAAAAAAAAAAAAGAAAGAAAGAAAGAGAAAAGAAAAGAAACAACTATGCATGCATTTCAGTTCACCAAAATAATATTTTAATTCTACTTTTCCATGAGTACCATGGTATATTTGTTGAGAATCATGATTTATACTCTCTCTCTTTTTTTAAAAAAAGATTATTTATTTGAAAGTGAGAGTTACACAGAGAGAGGAGACGCAAAGAAAGAGAGAGAGAGAGAGAGAAAGAGAGAGAGAGGTCTTCCATCTGCTGGTTCACTCCCCAATTGGCCACAATGGCCAGAGCTGCGCTGATCCAACCAGGAGCTAGGAGCTTCTTCCAGGTCTCCCACATGGGTGCAGGGGCCCAAGGACTTGGGCCAGCCTCCACTGCTTTCCCAGGCCACAGCAGAGAGCTGGATCAGAAGTGGAGCAGCCAGGTCTCGAACCAGCACCCACATGGGATGCCGGCGCTTCAAGCCAGGGCGTTGACCCACTGCACCACAGCGCAGAGAACCTGGCACAAGGAAGGCACATAATAACTATAAATGATGGAATGGATGAATACATTTATGCCAGTAAACAGAATCATGGTCAGTACGAAGGGTTTAGGTGCAGATGAGCACCACGAAAGAAGGCCGTGGACAACCACTGGGACACTTAGCTACTATTCCAAAGTTGAAATTAAAAGGAGAAAATGCCACTACTCCTTGGAGAAACGTTGTCAAGAATGGGTTCCAGGGACTGTGGTGAGCCTTGTGTCCGAGGGAGGCCTGAGCGGCCCCCACGCAGAGGCTGAGTCAGAGAGGTCACTAAAGGTGCCGGGCATGGCATAGGGGCAGGGAGATGATGAGCGTCATTGAAGCCACATAACTCCTTTTTCCTTTCCCTTCATTGCATACCCATTGGAGGACTTGCAGGTTTTGTCCTGCAAGTGTTGCAAAATCTGTCCAATTATGAAATCAGATATCGTTCTGGCATTTTTAGTTGAAGTACCATCTATAGCAAAATTGTGTAAAGGAAAAAAACCCCTATGAGTCAGTTTCCACGTCTATGAGTGTTTTGAAGATTACATCAGTGGAGTTCCATAGAATGAAACCATGAGCTTCCTGCAAAATCGCCTGGATTCACAATAATCTCTATCTTTTCAACTAATGAGGAGGACCTTCCGAGGACACTATAGATGTGCGTGAACTCTTAAGGGACAAAGATCTGTCACTACTCTCAAGTTTTCTCCTAACTATATAGACATAACGATTAATATAGAAAAGGAAGCTCAAGGGGCCAGTGCTCTGGCACAGTGGGTAAGACCATCCATTGCCTGCAGCACTGGCATCCCATAGAGGTGCCGGTTCAAGTCCCAGCTGCTCCACTTCCGATCCAGCTCTTTGTTATGGCCTGAGAAAGCAGTAGAAGATAACCCAAGTCCTTGGGCCCCTGCACCTGTGTGAGAGACCCAGAAGAAGCTCCTATCTCCTGGCTTCTGATCAGCACAACTCTAGCTCTTGCTGCCATCTGGGAAGTGAACCAGTGGATGGAAGACCTCTCTCTCTCTGCCTCTGCCTCTCTGTAACATTGCCTTTCAAATAAATATTTTTCAAAAATAAAAAAAGGAAACTAGATTACTGTTATGTAGTTTCCAAAATTAATGTGGCAATTTTAAGAGCACTCATGTATGCTGCACCTACTTCTCCCAGCCAGGATGTGATACTATTGGGTTCTATTATCTTCCACTTTTTACAGATGTGGAAATTGAAGCTCAGAGTAGTTAACTTGCCAAGTCACACCAGCATGGAAACCCAAATGCAGAGGTTAACTCTCAAGGTCACGTTCTTCCCACTATACCACTGTGTCCCAGAAGAGAACCACAGGAGCGATTTCATGCAGAACTATTAATATTTGAGAGAAAATGACCAGTCATAAAATGCCATGTACATGATGGATGGTGGTTGGTAGGTGGCTGGACAGGTTATAAAAGAGCCAGATGGAAAACTGGGTGGGAAAATGCACCCTTGAGAAGCTGCTAAGACATTGCAAAAAAACAAACAAACAAACAAACAAAAAAAAAAAAACTCAGAATTAAAAGGTAGCATTCCAATACAACTGGAAGACTTGATTCCCGTAACTGGCACACCCAGGTAAGAATCTCAGGAAATAACTTGTTCAGTGATTGAAGACCAAACAGACGCCAGCAGCGATTGGCAAAGGCTTGTCGCGTCAAGCTGAGGGACAAGTGCGTGTGTAGGGGTGACGGCCAGCATTTACTGAGTGTTCATGATGCGCCAGCCACTGAGCCAAGTGCTGTGTGTACATCAACCCCTTTAATTCCGGCAACTCCATAGAAACCAACTTCCCAGCCCCATTTTAATGCCTGTGGCAAAGAAACTGAGTAACTTGAGGTCCTAAACTTGAATCGAACGGGTTTTCTTGGATCCAGGTGTCATGCTCTTAGCAATTACACTGCATTCTGAACTCTGAACTGTTACTGCCTGCGCAGGAACGTGACGTGTGGAGCACCAACCTTGCTAATGGTAGTGACAATTTGAGTGTCCACATTATTGCTGTAGAAAATTCTGTGGCCTTGGGTAATGAAAACGCTAATGACAGGTGGGTGTTTAGCCTCGCCATGCCCCACAGTGCAGTACCTGGGTTAACTTTTCGGCTGCAGCTGCCAATTCCAGCTTTGTGGTAATGCATACCCTGTAAGGTAGCAGGTGATGGCTCAAGTTAGCCTATTACTAAAAAAAGAAAAGAAAAAAAAAAAGATGCCACCCATGGATTGAGTTCCCAGCTCTGGCTTTAGCCAGGCCCTGCCAAGGCTCTTGTGGGCATTTGGGCATGCCATTTCTCTCTCTTTCTCCCCCTTCTGAGGAAAAAATGGAGGGTGGGGGTGCTAGTGGCACGAGACACTGGCCCAGAAACCCTTGCACCGGGGGCCACTTGTCTGGCCACGGTTCTTAAGTTACTTCCTTGTGTCAATGGGACGATGTCTTTGGATGCTGCGAAGACAGAGGAAAAGAACCCGGGGATGGACTTTGTCTACTCCGGAGGGTACCACGGAAGGGTCGGCTCTGATCACGAAGCCTGTGGATGGCAGCCTGACCCAGAAACACCATCTGCGAGGTCTTCAACGTGCCTCAGCTCAAGTGTTAAATACACACGGAGGGCAGTGGAGGATGGCCCAGGTGCTTGGCCCCTGCACCCGCATGGGAGACCAGGAGGAAGCACCTGGCTTCTGGCTTCGGATCGGCGCAATGTGTGCCGGCCGTGCGCCGGCCGTAGCGGCCATTTGGGGAGTGAACCAACAGAAGGAAGATCTTTCTTTCTGTTTCTCTCTCCCTCTCTCTGTAACTCTACCTGTCAAATAAATAAATAAAAAAATTAAAAAAAAAAAATACACATGGAAGCCCCGGCAGGGATCTCGGGACTACGTTCCTTTCGCAACGTCACACCCAACTGAGCCAAGCAAGCGGCCCCAGAGGCTGCCCGGAGCAGTGCGGCGGCGCGGTCAGGGGCCGCGGAGGTCGAGCGCTCCCCGCGCTGCGTGAGGCAAGCCTCCTCCCACGGCCGCGGGAAGCCCCGACGCCGCAGGCTTCCTCGCCGAGCCAGAGCCACCGGCGCGCAGTTCCTCCGCCGCTTCCTCCTCCAGCTGCAGCCACCGGCCCCTTCCTGCTCAGCAGCGGTTTGAAGCTCGCGCGGCCGCGGCTCCGAGGCGGCGGGGGAGGCGCGCGGCCGCGCGCACGCGCACTGGGCGGGCTGCCCCGAGGCCCCGCCCCTCGGTGCGGCTGGCGCGCCGGCGGCTGCCCCGGGTCTCCGGGCAAACTTGCCTCAGCCAGGCGGGGAGCGGAGCTTCCTCCCTGCCGGTCCTTCCGCCCCCTGCCTCCGCGGCTCCGAGGCGAGCGAGGGGGCGAGCGGAAGGTGCGCGGAAGCCCAGAGCCGCGACGTGGCCGGCGGGAGCTGCGGCAGTCGGGGTCGCCGGCGCGGGCCATGTCGCTGTGGGGGGAGCCGCTGCAGGCCCCGCCGCCCCCGGCCTCGCAGCCGCTTCTCGCCGCGCCCTCGGGGCCGCCGTTGGCTCCTCTGGCCGGCGCGACCCTCAACCGCCTGCGGGAGCCGCTGCTGCGGAGGCTCAGCGAGAGCCTGGACCGGGCGCCCGAGGGCCGGGGCTGGAGGAGGCTGGCCGAGGTGGCGGGCAGTCGGGGGCGCCTGCGGCTCAGGTGAGCCCGGGGCGAGCGCGGCGGGCGCGAGGCGGAGAGGAGGGGGCGTCAGGGAGCGCTCGGCCCCCGCAGAGCCCCGCGAACGTCGGGGGCTGGAGCGGGGACCCCTGGCTAGGGAAGGGAGAGGCAGCGGGGACCCCGCGGCTGCTGGCGATGGAGGAGAAGTGGGGGTCGGCCGCCGAGGCTGTGGCGAGGGGAGAGCTGGCCCCGGGCCGCTGAGGAGGGGCGGAGAGGGTTCCGGGCAGGACGGGGCTGCAGGAATCCGCGCAGGCTGGGAGGGCGAGAGAGAAGGAAGCAGGGCAAGACCAGCGCGCCGTCTTCCTGCACCGAACCGGGTCACGGAGGGCTCTGCTGGTCTCCGGCGAGAGCCTGTGGTCCCGATCCGGCCTGGAAGGCCCGCTCGGCCGTGCTGGAAGGTTTTGGTCTCAGGACCGCTTTGGAGGAGCCCAGAGAGCTTTTACGGGGGGTTATATGTGACATGGGTATGGTACACAGTGATATTTCAGCTGAAATTTAAACCGAGACGTCTTCCAAATGTTTAACTTTTTACCATTGAGGCAAATGATATTTCTGGGTAAAAAAAAAAAACGAACTTGTCTAAAACAAAATAATTAATTCAAAAATTTGCATTCGTTTACATTTTAAAAAGCCCTTTAAAGCTTTGACTTAATCCCAAGAACTGGCTGCTTTTAGGGGCTTCTGCATTTCGGTTCGTTGCTGTAATGCATGTAGGGAACACTGGAAGCTCCAGTATGCGGTCCTGAGACAATGAATGGAAGGGGTAGATAAGGGCTTAGAATTACCCGGAAAAATCCTCATGACCTGTGGACCCGCTCGAACTGTGATAGGCAGCCCCAGACCACAACTCTATACCGTTGCTAGGATTTCATTCTGCCTTTTTAACTCCTTAGTGGTTTTTTTGTACTTCTCAAATGACTAGACTTTGTCTTGTACCATGGTTATTTAGACACTTCTTCTAAAAATTCCTTAAGAACAAGGAGACATCTCTTAATATCCTGTTTTATACGTTGAACCTTTCTTAGACAATAAATACTTGCTGAATCCTCAGTGGAGTCCTTCATTCAGGATTTTCTTTATTGAGTGCCTGTTATTCAGCTGTAAGTCCCAGAAGAGAAAAAAAAGTTAACAAATATTTAATTGCTAATCATAAAGGTTGATCTAATAATGAACTGTTATTTGGGGATGTTCACAAATAACATACTCAGTGTTGTGCCGGATATGAATGGAGGTAATGTGTTTTATCGTTTACGGAGCACACAGTGTATACCAGACTGTGCTGAGTGTTTCCATGCGTTACCTACTTTAAGCCTCCACCAACGAGTTTCAGAGTTTGAGACTGAAGCAGAGAGAGAGAGTAATGATGTAGGGGATTGTTGCCCATATGGAAGAGTAATGATGTGAGGAAGGGATCAAGAAGTGAGCAGGCGCAAAGCCAGGCAGACAGGTGACATCATTTTTTCTGAAATAGGAAACATTGGACTTCAGCTTTGCAAAGAAAATCCAAAATACTATTATCCTAGGTCCGTAGATTTCTGAATTTCTGTAATTACCGTAATGCAGAAAGTTATCTTCTTTGGAGGCAGATTTCCAGAGTATTACGATGTTAACTAGCACGAGGGATGGCTCTAGGTTTCTGAAGAGAGCCTGGTATTTTGTATTTGGCCATGCAGGAGAGAGAAGAAAGTTAGCAAGCCCTGCCAGGAAGTGTGGCAGGTGGAACCCGAAAATTGTGGATAACGTGATGTCGTGTGCTCTGCTTTCCTCCCCAAGCCTTCAGTCAGGCTTTGGGACAGGCTGCAGACGATGCTAGCCAGCATTCAGAAAGGACTGAGGCCGCTTTGCCGGGGTTCATATTGGGGGGGTCAGTTGCCTAGCAAGAGGTGACCAGCACCCGAGGGCCTGCTGTTGTGGAACCTGAGAATTCAGGGTGAGACTTCCACAAGAGACAAATGAGTCTTACCAGTGTTCTGGGATGGTGGAGGCTAGTTCCAAGGAAGTTAGTTGGGATGGAGAGGGTTGAAGAATTTAACAGTAAGCTCATACCTCTTGAGATCAGAAGATTTAAGAAGGTTAGCACTGGACAGTGACAACAGAGGGGCCAGGTGTCAGGTGGTGATTTCTGATTTTGTGTAAGGCAGAAAGTTATTTTTACGTGACATCATACTGATGGGAGGAGAGGGTCTGTGATGGCAGATCAAAGAGCTGTTTTTCTCTAGCGCCAAGCAGAAATTGCATTGCAGCTTAGTCCAGGTGGGTAACAAGTCCTAGGAGGAGGACATGAAGTGCTCTCCTCAGAGTCGCTGGATTCTCAGCCTTAATATCTCAGAAGGTTGTGTTTCTGGTTGTTGTTGTTGTTGTTGTTGTTTTCCCTGCCTCCTTACAAGGTTGTACAAACTAGAAAAGAATTTATTTAATAATAAAAGTTAAGTAAACCTTAAGGGCTGGTTCAGAATTGTCCACCAGGGATTAGAAGTAATTCTAAATGTTTCTAGGTGACTTTTGGTAATTCCGAAGTAGACCCTTGCATGGGGTTTAGTCCCTTCACCAAGTGCAGGTAGGAATGCCCTCCATACCCTCCAGCCCTTGTTCCCTTCCACACTGATCTAATACCAAACAAACACCCTTTGCTGTCAAAGTACATAGGCACCGATTCTAAGTGTCTTGCCCAAGCTATGTAACTTCTGTCAAGGCTGGAACATCTGGGCCTCAGGGATGACAGAGCTTTGGGGAGACCATAAAATGCCTAAATTCCACAAAGCAGGAAACTTAGAAAGGGGGCTGTGGAACATGGACCGAGGAAAACCATCAGCCGTGGCACATCTGCTCCATAGAAGGTGCTGTTTTGGCTGCAGAAATCCTGCCCTGCAGCACCTTTTAACAGGCATGACAGCATGTGTAAAAGTCTCTAACAAGAAGTCTCCTCGCACTTGGCTAATCCTCCGCCTGAGGCACCGGCACACCGGGTTCTAGTCCCGGTTGGGGTGCCAGATTCTGTGCCAGTTGCTTCTCTTCCAGTCCAGCTCTCTGCTGTGGCCCAGGAAGGCAGTGGAGGATGGCCCAAGTGCTTGGCCCCTGCTCCCGCATGGGAGACCAGGAGGAAGCACCTAGCTCCTGGCTTCGGATCGGCGCAGCACCTGCCGCAGCATGCTGGCAGTAGTGACCATTTGGGGGGTGAACCAACAGGAAAGGAAGACCTTTCTCTCTGTCTCTCTCTCTCACTGTCTAACTCTGCCTGTCAAAAAAAGAAAAAAAAGAAAAAAAAGAAAAAGAAGTCTCCTCAGCTCTGTCTCTTCAGCCTTGGAATTTTGGAATGCCCTGAGGCTCAGGCGTTGTGGCCGTTTTTCTATGCTGCTTCACCTACTCCCCTTCTTGGTGTTGTCATCCAGTGGCTTCCCTGCTTGAGTACCCCAGTATCTGTCTCTGAGATTTGTCAGTGTGGGTTCCTGTTGGCCATCTCCTCTGGAGTGACTCGCAAGCATCTCAGTGGAGTCTCTCCATCAACCTCCTTCTGTCAGTTTTCTGCACTTTGGTAAATGGTAACTGTACCCTGATGGTTGCCAAAACTTCCTTCAAGGACCTTCTGCCGCAGTGGGCAGCAAGTTCATTCCTCATGACTCAGCTTTTACACCACATCATCGTTGTCAGCTTCTCCTACCTGCGGACACTGCTTCACTATGTACCTGGAATTCACCCTGCACTACTGTCACTGGGCCAGGCCACCATGGTATTCCAGTAGCCACTCCTCCATCCTTCACATTGTTCTCAAAATTGCAGTGAGAATGATTAATCAGACTGTCTCTCCTCTGCTTTTAATCCTCCAGGTGCTTTTCCATCTCAGAGTGAAAAAGAGCATTCAGTTTCCAGTTAACTCTTGGGCCTGATACTCCGGTATCATCTGGATCTGTCTACTCCAGCCTCACTTCCTTTCTTGAACACAGCAGGGCCTTAGGCTTGCTGCTTACTCAGGTCTAGCTGGGCGCCACAGATGACCACAGTTTGCTCCATCACCTTTTCAGGTGTTTGCTTTAAAGTCATATTCTTGTTTTTCTGACTTTGTTTCTCGATACTTGCTATGCCAACCCATGCCCTCGTCACTGTTTCCCCTCACAATGGAGGAAACCCAAGACTTTCTGCTCATAGCTGGGCAAAAGGATGCCAACTCTTAAGATCAAGAAAAATAAGGATAAAGTGAAATTTAAAGTTCAGTGCCACAGATGTCTGTACCTTGGACACCACAGAGAGAAGGCAGAGAAATTGAACAGTCTCTGCCCCCAGGTCTAGCAGCAAAGGCATTGAAATAAACTAAGCAAACCAATTTGAACTGCAGTAAAAATTTTTTTATTAAAAAAGTAATGTTAACAGGGATTTTCTGATGATAATTCTTAAAATTACTGGGTTAGCATCGAAGCATAGCAGGTTAAGCAGCTGCTTGGGAAGGAGGCCACATTGCATAGCGGAGCACCTGTGTTTGAGGGAGCTTCCACTTCTGGTCTAGCTTCCTGCTAATGCACCTTGGAGGCAACAGATAGTGGCCCAACTGCTTGGGTTTGGCCACCCAGGTAGAAGACCTTGATGAAGTTGCTGGCTTCTGGCTTCAGTCTGGCCTAGTCCTGGCTGTTACAGGCATTTGGGCAGTGAACCAACAGTTGAAAGATCAGTCAGTCTGTTTCTCACTCACACTGCCCTTCGAATAAATAAGTCTTGAAAAAAAAATAGAATGACTCCCCATAGCTCCCTCCTTGTTACCCATCCCCCTGCTTTGTTAGTTTTCACCGACACACGTAGGATATTGGGTAGAAGAATCCACATACACAGTTAACCTGTGAGTGTCTATACCTTTCCTCTAGATTGAATAGTCCAGGAGGATGGGAATTTGGTGGGTTTTTTGCTATATCCTAAATGCCTGGCTGTTTCAGGTGCTTAATAAATAAATCGAATTGATAAAGATTCCAAAGAGGAAATTTACCAGTAGGAGAAGCTGAAGAAGCTAAAAATATTGCTGTGGTTTGCACATGTACGATATCTCATTTAATTATATTCTTCTAAAAGTAAAGATAAAAATAGGTATTTTTTAGAAGCAAAGTCCGTTTGATTCAGTAATAAGTCTTTTTAATTAAATCACAAATTCCAAATTAGGGCTCGCAGAAACCACCTCAAAGCACTTTTACAGGAATGGAACTTAAAAAGGAAAGAAAGAAAAGCTGGGTGTGTGTAAGTATCATCTTACTGAAAGCCAGTGCCTGTGTGGAAAATCAGTAAAATGAAAAGAGAGAATTTGTTTTTCTTTGTGCATCTGAATTGGAAAAGAAATTGTCTACTTCAGTCTTTGTTGATTGGAAGGAAAAAAAGTCAAGTTGCTTTTAATTTTCTTTGTAGCAATATAAGCATTAATTAAACATTACTTGATCTCATTCAATGAGATAGCTTCTTAATTTCATGTATCAGATCATGGTAAAGTTCAGAATCATAAATAAAAATTATATTTAGCATACCACATCCTTATTTTTATAAATCTCATAATCCTTTGAAATATTAGTAAACCTTATATGGTTTCTGATAGAGCTTCCTTGACTCGGACATTTCATAGACTGGTAAAGAAAAAGTTTGCGAAACAGGAGTACCCCACAGGCATCTGCAGCCTGTTATTTTTACTGCTCCAGTAGTCACCATTATTTCATAAAAAGACATTTTAACATTTAAAACTAGGAAACACCATCACAGAGTAAAAGGTAATCTTATTCTCCTTTTTATCATCTTGCCATGGACTTGAGATTGTTTTCCCACTGGTCTAGAGTCCAGAATTTGGGATTGGGAAATCTATTAAGATGATGTCTCACACTGAGAAAGAATAGTAGATTGACTATTACATAAATGCAGACACTTAGAAAAGAGTGCTTAATAAGTATAGTAGTCACAGGAGGATTGGGAGGACCTTGCCAGGTTACTAAAATAGTTCCTCACAAATATTTAAGCAAAAGTAAAACCATTTTCAGAATTAAGCATAGTTAAGAAATTAGCCTTAATATTCTTTTAATATCCCCATATTTTTCTTGCATAAGAAGACCCAACCTTTATCAAGTGCTTTTTCCCTTCCAACTATTTCTCACATAGATTATCTAATTCTTACAACTATGTAAGTTAAATAACATTACTACTGAAATTACTTCAGTGGAAGCATTTTTCTATATGAAGTGATCATTGTGATCAGAATTATAAATCCTGGGTGATAATATAAATGCTGTGGAAGCATTTAACTAAATTGGATCAAAGAAAAGGGATGAGGGTGAAGAATATTTCAAACGGGATGGGCATGTGATACAGTCGTTAAGGTGCTGGCTGAGACCCCGCATCCCAAGTCCTGCCTGGTGCAGGTCCTAGCTGAGTCCATCCTGCTCGTGCACACTTGGGGAAGCAACAGGTGATGGCTCAGGGGCTCGGGTCCCTGCCAGTCATGTGGGAAATCCAGATGGAGTTCCAGTCTCCTGACTTTGACCTGGCCCAGCCCTGGCTGTTGAGGGAATTTGGGAATGGAAACTATTTCTCCCTCCCCCAGTAAAATGAAAATAAATAAAAATGTTTTAAAATCACCTTGCTTAATAAAAATAAGACTTTTAAGTAATAGGAAAGCTTATTGCTAAGCTTGATACTGCCAGTTGCAACGCTGTTATATTTTTACACCTTCTGTCCAGCCTTGTAGCTTTTTCAATTATGGTTGAAATTCATTTAATCTTTCACTTATGAATGACTCATGTGGGCAAGAGAGTTTCTTTTCAGTGAGCTTACTGTGACCTGTTTGAATAGAGAGGGCCTGCTCATGAAGAAGAGCTTGCAGTTTTAAGACAACATGGTGTCAGATAGAAGAACAGGGGTCTGCAAATGACTGCCCATGAGCCAGACGCAGGCTGCTGCCTGGTTCTGCACAGCCCATAAACTGACTGGTTTCTGTATTTTATAGCTAGTGAGGGCCGGTGCTGTGGCTCACTAGGCTAATCCTCCGCCTGTGGCGCTGGCACCCCGAGTTCTAGTCCCGGTCGGGGCGCCGGATTCTGTCCCAGTTACCCCTCTTCCAGGCCAGCTCTCTGCTGTGGCCAGGGAGTGCAGTGGAGGATGGCCCAAGTGCTTGGGCCCTGCACCCCATGGGAGACCAGGAGGAAGCACCTGGCTCCTGCCTTCGGATCAGTGCGGTGCGCCGGCCACAGCATGCCAGCCGTGGCGGCCATTGGAGGGTGAACCAACGGCAAAAAGGAAGACCTTTCTCTCTCTCTCTCTCACTATCCACTCTGCCTGTCCAAAAAAAAAAAAAAAAAAAAAAAGTCAGTAGTATTGGTTCTCTTTTTAAATATACTTGCAAAAAAATTATTGAGACGAGTGCACATAGTGAAAAAAAATTTAACAATACACAAGGGTTTATAGTGAAAAGCAAATCCAGCTGTGAATTCTACTTCCTTAGTTCTCCTTTCTAGGGTAACCACTGCTACCAGTTTCCCAGCTACATTTTCTGAGTTGCTGTGCATCTATAAGAACACATACTCATACAGTTGGTAAGAAAAGTAGCATCCAGAAAATACATGGTTCTGTCTTGTTACATGAATGCACTCATAGACATATTACCTTGTTAATATAAATGGTAGTGTATTACCATTTTTCAGTGTGTTTTAAGTGTTTCTCTGGTAACTAATTTTGTAGCATTGACTCTGCCATCAAGCATCATTTTTTGGACCCTGGCTTTTCTTTCTGTTGATATCAAGTATTGCTAGTATTGTTCATATAGGAGCATGTGCCATCACTTAAGGTATTTTAGCTCCCTAATAGAATGAGTACATACTCCTTTCTCAGAAGGAAGCAGGCTCTATCCAATGAGTGCCTTCATTTTTTTTTTTTTTCATCTTGTGTTTCTTCAGTTTTTTGGTCTTCCTAGCCCCTGTTCCCAAAATACAGGCAAACATTTTGGTCGCTCTCAAGGCTGAATTTCTCTAACATCCTATTTCCAGGTTTCTGTCTCATTCTCCTGATTTACTAATTATAAGAGTTGAGTGGGGAGAGGGGATGTAGAGGAATCCTCTCCATGATAGAGAAGGAGGAGGCAGCATCAGTGGTTTCTCTCGACTCACCAACTTGTGTTTATTCCCTGCGGTACCTGCACTATGACAGATGGATAGCAGATGTATCATATTGAGGAAAGTTCTTTGTTTTTAGCTGTCTGGACCTGGAGCAGTGTTCACTTAAAGTACTGGAGCCTGAAGGAAGCCCGAGCCTGTGTTTACTGAAGCTAATGGGTGAAAAAGGCTGCACGGTCACAGACTTGAGCGACTTCCTGCAGGCTATGGAACACACTGAAGTCCTCCAGCTTCTCAGTCCTCCAGGTAGGTTTTTCCTTTAGCAATTTTCTCCAGGAGTTATAGAGTAAAACTTGGAAATATCTCAGTTGAATTATGTTAAATATTTTTGGAAAATGTAATTGTGTAGAACTTCATCTCCCCCCCCCCCAATGCCATGTTGAGACAAAAAAGCCCAGGGTAAGCAAATATAATACGTGAATGTTGATTGAATCATGGTGTTGTGGTTCAAAAACCCGGATATAGGAGATATTTTAAAAACAATTGGACTTGTCCCAAACGATAGAGTTAGGATCGTGCCAGGGGATTCCAATTCAATCCCATCAAGATGGCATGTACCAATACCATCTCACTAGTCAAAGTGATCAGTTTCAGTTCGTAATTGATCATAATGATAGGATTAAGAGTCAAAGGGATCACATAAACAAGACTAGTGTCTGCTAATACTAACTGATACAATTAAAAAGGAGAGAATGATCCAACATAGGAAGCGGGATACACAGCAGACTCATAGAATGGCAGATGTCCTAAACAGCACTCTGGCCTCAGAATCAGCCCTTAAAGGCATTTGGGTCTGGCTAAAAAGCCCATGAGAGTATTTTAGACATGGAAAGCCAAGACACTGTGGCAAAAAGAAAAAAAACAAAAACAGAAACAAAACCCTAAATGAAAGATCTCCGCGAGTGAGATCCCCAGTGGAAAGAATGGGCCAAAGAAGGAGGTACCTTTCTCTGAAGGGAGGCGAGAACGTCCACTTTGACTGTGACCTTGTCAAAATAAGATTAGAGTTGGCAAACTCAGGAGGCTTCCATAGCCTTGGCAGCTCATGACAAGAGCCTCGGGTGATTACTGATGCCATAAACAAGAGTGTCAATTGTTAAATCAACAACAGGAGTCACTGTGCACTTACTCCCCATGTAGGATCTCTGTCCTTAATGTGTTGTGCTATGTGAATTAACGGTATAACTAGTACTCCAAACAGTACTTTCTACTTTGTGTTTCTGTGTGGGTGCAAACTGTTGAAATCCTTATTTAGTATATACTAGGTTGATCTTCTGTGGTAAAGATAATTGAAAATGAATCTTGATGTGAATGGGATGGGAGAGGGAGCAGTAGATGGGATGGTTGTGGGTGGGAGGGAGGTTAAAGGGGGAAAAAGCCACTGTAATCCAAGAGCTGTACTTTGGAAATTTATATTTATTAAATGAAAGTTAAAAAAAAAAAAGAAAGGATAAGTGGGAGGAGGGAAGAACACAGAAGGTGTCACTGCAGTAAAATATGGAAACAACAGATTTCACCCATGTAATTTGATAAATATTTTATTAAAGTGATGCTGAATCGATACTTATCACACTATATGGAAAATATCTAATAAAATATTTTCTAATTCAAAAAAATAATTGGAAACATTTTAATGTAATCAGCATATTTGATGCTAGGGAATTAGATAACAATATTGTAGTACTATAGTAGTTCTATAGGTGTGTGCTCTTTATTCTAAGGAGATGCATGCTAAAGTATTTAGGGGTAAAATTTCTGTAACATACATTGAATAGTGCAACCAGAAAATGAATAAATACATATTTCTGTGTATGTATGTATAGGGATGAAGAAAAGCAAGGATGTCAAATGTTTGTTGCCTAAATCTTATACCAACATGATGTGCTTTTGAAATGTTGGTAATTCAACCATACAAATTTTCCTGAATAGACCAATACTGAGTAAGGCTTCTCACTTCTATGGTCAGTAGAAATAAGAAACAGTTCCTTCTCTCTGCAGTTGCAGATGGAGTTTGTCAGGTGCAGTGGTATTGAGCAGGAGGACTCACTGTTGAAGTCCCCTGTTAGCAGCACTGCTGGCCTCCTTTTTCTAGGGGTTCTCAAGGGTCCAGTTATGTCATTTTATGTCCATTATATGTGTCATTGGAAGCCAATTAGGCTTACACTTGTGATTTTACATGGTCTTGATGTCTGCCATTTCATTATATAACCAGCCTGGTTATAATATATTAACGTTAGGTGCCTAAAACTATAATTTAGACCTTATTTTTTACATTATTCTGAGGTTGGAGAACTAGGGACACGTGTGTAGTCAGTGGCATGTAACAGAAACTCCAACTCAGATTGGTGTAAAGAGAGGAATACAGTTCTAACTGAAAAGCCTCTACGTGGGGTGGGCTTCATGAGAGGCAGGGAGCACCCTGTTTCTGAGTTGTTGGTTTCCTTTTGTCTTTGCTCTTCCTTGTCCTTCCTTCCTTCCAAGACTGGTGATCCAGCATTAGGCCAGGTTGCCTGCTAGCTCCCCCTGGGCTCATTCATCTCTATCTCTCTCCCAGCATTCCCAGCAAAAGTCAGAAGGTTCATTCTGGTTAACTAGTTTTGATCACATGCCTGTCCCTAAACTGTCACTGTGGTCAAGGAGATGGAATGTTCTGATTTGCCTGGCTTAAAGCCAAGAGTGGAGTTGGATTGAGTCAGCTTTCCAGGAAACACATGGATCATAAAACAAAATTAGATCTGGTGGGAAGGGAAAAAGGAGGCAACAGATGCTGGGGATGTAACCAGAAAGTCTCATACACATGAAAAGGACCTTTGATTGTGAGTGAGAAAAGTGAGATTCTCAAGTCACCCCCTGCTTTAAAGGCCTAGTGCAGGTGGTAAAATGGGCTCCTGTAAGTGCCTCCCTTGTGCTGTGCACTATGGTGGATGCTTGGCTCTTGTTTCTTAGTGCTGCCTCTACCGAGAGGGGTGGGGTAGGAATAACTGCCTGCTAATGCAGGACCCCCTGCCCGTGATATGACTTATCAGTTACCAGTCAACTTCCCAAGTTGTTAATTTTTATATTCCCAGTGCCTTGAATAGTACCCAGGAGTTTGTAATGATTGAAATTTACCAGTCTAGGACATTCAAGTTAGCTACTGAGTTCTCACACTTTATAGAATATCAGGGGCTCTGAAAAACTTAAACCTCCATGGAAAGTAAGTGTAGTTTTTTAAAAGATTTATTTATTTGAAAGGCAGATTTACAGAGAGAAAGGGATTGTCTATCCATTGGTTTACTCCCCAAATGACCACAACAGCTAGGGCTGGACCAGGATGAAGCCAGGAGCCAGGAACTCCCATCTGGGTCTCCCACATGGGTGGCAGGGGCCCAAGTACCTGGACCATCTTCTGCTGGTTTCCGAGGCACATGAGCAGGGAGCTGGATCAGAAGTGGAGCAGCTGGGACTTGAACCTGCGCTCATATGAGGTGTTAGCATCGCAGGCAGTGACTCAGCCTACTACATCACAACACTGGCCCCCATAAATGTAACTTTTATATCTCATTCTCTTTGTCAATGAAACACTTTGACTGTTAGTTGCTAAGTCTGTAAAATTAGTGTAAATAATCCTCTACTGACATTGTTGGAGCTTCCCATTTTTTGAGGTTTTGTGGTATGAATGCTGGGGGCTGAGACTAGTGCTCCCAGTTTTTAGTTTCCCTTGAGTGAAATTGAGGCAGGTATTTATTTATGTATAATGACTTGCCTGGACTTCTGAAACAGTGTTTTATATTTTGATCTTTGAATATATAACATCAATCATCTTCCCTTGAAGAAACCACTCATGTTCTTTCTGTTTTTCTCCAAATAGCAAGAGTAGCACCTTCCTGTCAGTGCACAGTGCGCAGGTCTGATGTTTGACCTGCAGGCTTTTTCAAGATGATTCCATGGACTCTTTTTGCTTTGAGGGGGGAACAGAAAAAGGCAAGCCGTTCCTGTGTTACCACGTCCACACTGTTCCACATATTCACACTGTGAAGTTTTGTGTCAGGTTGGCCATACTCATATAGTGTCTATTGTTACTTGAATGTTGATTATTGATTTAAGAGGAAATATTTAGAAATCCAGTGAAGTTCAGTAATGTAAGAGAGAAGTAGGTAGTTTAATGCTAGCTTACTGTCTGTATCTAATATGGGTAACCTTAACATTGTTTAGATATTAGAATAAAGCATAAAAATTTTAGGGAATAATTTTTAATACTTGAATAAAACTATTTAGTATAAAAACTTATGTAATCACATTAAACATGTAAGCACTGATAGAATAAATTTCTGATTTTGCTCATTCAATCAAGAAACATTTACTATATTCTGATATCTTTGCTATTCCAGGCATTATGCTAAGTCCTGGGAATTCAAAGATGAATAAATAATAGTTTCTAACTGTTGAAAGGTCATAGTTTAGTAGGGGAGACAAACATGCAAATGATCACATCCAGAACAATTATAAAAATAAATATTTATGTAAAGTAAGTTTATCTGATTGCTAGTTTCTCCTTTTCAGCATATTCTTGAACTTTGATGAAAATACAAAATATAAGTATTCTAATGTTGTCTCTCTTTTATAGTAATGCCATTTCATAGGAGGACATTAGTTCATATTCTACAGATAGTTCAATCATTTTCTGGTCTAGTTGGGGTTAGTAACTTGTTGAGCCTCTGAACAGACCTTTCAGGCCTAGATGCAGGGATGAGGGGAACTTTAGATTTATTTTACTAAAGGAGACAGTGCAGTATCATTTTGTTGTTTATGGAGCAGTAGCCAGAGATGACTGTGGTGGGGAGCTTCTCCTTTTGAAAATGTGACCCATTTTTCTTTATGTATTTATTTGGTAGCCAGAAGCATAGCATTTCCCCATCTCTATCCAGAATAATTCCTATAATTAGGAGCCGGCTTCTGTGGTCTCTCTAAGATAAGTATAAGCTCACCCTGAAATCCCTGAAGTTCTCGGTGCGCTGTGCCTCCTGGGCTTTAGCAGGCAGCACACCTTCTGAAGCATCCCCAGTGGGAGGAGGTCTCCCCTCATTGGGCTGTCTCTCTCATTGGGCTTTTCCACACGTTGTGAGCTACCTGTAGTCTGGCCTTGCTGGAACTATGTGTTTAAGAAATTGCTTCTAGTTTTCTTGTGTGGATAGTGTTCATCCCCCTTTTTCATTACTGATAAACTGTTGTTGTATTTTTATTTCTTTGGTCATTTCAGTGGGAAT